GGAGGGGAAAGACGAACAGCTTACATTGCACAGTCGTGCAAGGGCAGGTACGCCAACCACGCGGAGCTGTAGGAGGATACTCAAGGCCAGAGTCGCCGGACGGTAGCGGTAGACCTCCAGGGAACAGAGCGAGACAACAAGACGACTAGTCATCGCGCTCCAAAGATCGTACATGCGCCGACTCTGGGGACCTGCGGTAGACGACGGCAGTGCACCCGCTAACTCAGCAGTGGACGACGCCGTGCGGGGATCATCGGGAAGGGACCTGGAGCATCCGCGTGAAATAGGGCCAAGCAGACGCTGACCAATCACCTTATCACCACTGCTACTGTCGTCCATGAAGACCTCATCGTCACCATCACCATCGTCTGGTCGCACTTCCTCCACATTTTCCGCCCGCCCGGTGTCTGTTTCCTGGTCTGTGGATGGTGGGAATGTGCCACTGTCAGGGAAGACCACAGCTGCGGAAGCGAAGAGGCGCAGGAAGTCATAGGCGTTGACTCCATCAAGATCGCCACCGAGCTTGGTAGTTATGATGTCTTCTAAGCGGAGCAGATCGGCAGAGTTGCCACCACAGCGCGAGATCTGCACCAGTGTGTCTGGGTTCGGAACGCCCAGCTCCTAGAAGGTGCACAAACATATAGAGGGTTATTGAGGGGATCAAGACTTGTGCTTAGTATATATTATTCGGTGGCAATCCTTTAGTATAAAAAGCCAACTGCGTTCGGTCAATATTGCTTCATCAAATTGGTGTACGCTGAGGCGCTGTTCATAATAAATTGTCCAAAAAAGAACCTAACAGCGTAAACATTAGGTCAGGTGAATTACTCAAGGCGGCCAACATTCCTTACTAAATACTTACATTATAACCCTCTGGGTGCGTCTAAAAGGAAGCCTGTCAACTATCATAAGTTGGTGTATAGCAGGAGCGTTGTTGAGGTCAGGACAGATGGGCGAAGTCAACGAGTTTGAGGTCGAAATTCACAGTTTTGGCAAGGCTGGCTGACGACAGCTGATAAGCTAGGAATGGCAATTTCAGTCTCCCTCGTATCTCAGGATTGTATAT